GCATATCATTACCGATTGGTTGGATAAAATTAAGTCGTTGGAAAGCTGTTGGAAAATCCCTTGTGCGGTTTCTGCTTGAATCCACGTTTTATGTAAAAGGTTGCGTACTGAAGATAATTTTAGACACATAAAGGCTGTTTGGATGGTTGAAGCAGCCATTGTAGAAGGTGACAGAACAACGCATACATCGACCTTGAAAATACCCTCTATAATAAAAAGTCAAGTAAGAACTCAAGCAAATATCTAGTTCTAGTGGACAGTTGAAAGATACTACCTAAAATTCCAGACAGTAAAGGCATTCTATATGCGTTAAGTAGGTTGACTTTGCACTTCAGACGCAAAGCTGCCACCCGTTCATAAAATATTATGTTAATTAACCCGGAACACCAAGGAATCATATGCTCCAAGTCAATCAAATAAGCACATATGATTAGTTCACACTTCCCACTAGTGACGTGCTTTCTAGTTCATTCCGGTGAACTGGTTCAATAGGGCCCCTACGCTAGAACGGACTATTTCTGCAACTAGATAAACACTGACGTGTAGTGATACCTTCAGGATTCTCCAAAGTTTTTGAATACGCATTTTTGTATAGATTTATTCAATTTATGATGAAACACACTATTTTCAGAAAAACAACATGGTTTTGTAGAGAACAAGTCAACAACTAGTGCTTTACATGCGTATTGAGAGAACATATAATCAATTATATTGAGAGCGGTGAATGTTCAGGTGGCATCTTCTGCGATTTTAGTAGAGCATTCGATTGCTTCTAGACAAATTAGCCAGATAAGGAATGCGGACCTCGAACAGTGCGTCTATATAAATGACAGTGAGGTGTCTGGCAAAATGTTTGTTAACATACGTGTAGGTCCGGGATCACTGTTCCGGCCTTCCTGTTCTTGGTCTACATAAATGACTTGGATCAGTCAACTGCACCAGCAAACCTCACTATACAGGGTGTCTGCGAAAGGTTGGGAAATCTCAAAACTGGAGATACTACAGACCAAAATATGTGAATTGACCTAAACATACCTTTGTCAAAAAGTTGATAGTTTGCGATACACAGGGTATCAAAGTTACAATTTTATTTTCTATTTTTCTTTATTGCTTGAGAAGTATTTCAGATTTTGACATAAAACTCGGTTTAGGGGGGTTTTCTATTCTACTTTCCACTTACAACACTATTTCAGTAAATAACTTATCATAACTTTTTTGTTCGACCCTGTATACAACAGTTGACCAAAAAATCTTATTTTCTCGTATTTCCACAACAAAAAAAGTTTACTTGTTAGAAGTATCTAAAGCTAATATTTTTCCAGATATTTGTTATTACATCTTACCAATCCGTACATTAAATGCGTATCAGAATATTCATCAAAAGTATACTCCATGATGTTTAACAACTTATTGTCAACTTAAAATTATTCATGAAATTTAAAACAATATTATGACAAACGAAACCATAGCAACGCTACTCAGATATTATTCAAAGCAACTTGATTATTATGTTATAAAAATGTTTTATCTCCTTGGTAGGTACAAATAATGCATTGGAACCTGTAAAATATCTCGAAAACTATTAGCTTTGGACACTTGTAACAAGTAAACCTTTTTTATTGTGGAAATACGAAAAAAATAAGATTTCTCGGTCAGTTGCTATATACAAGGTAGCACAAAAAAGTTATGATAAGTTATTTACCAAAATAGTGTTGTAAGTGGCGCCCTCTAGAAGTTTGGCCATAAAAAATAACGGATTCTTGTTTCCAATGCTAGAAAACCTCCATACACCGAGTTTAATAGCAAAGTCTGAAATACTTCTCAAGCAATAAGGAAAAATAGAAAATAAAATTGTAACTCTGACACCCTGTATCTCGCAAACTATCAATTTTTGGACTGAGGTATGTTTAGGTCAATTCACATATTTTGGTCTGTAGTATCTCTAGTTTCGATATTTCTCAACCTGTCGTGCTGATGACACTTCTATTGATTTCTGATAAATCGGAAATGTAGGTATCTACATGTAAGGCCTCGATTTTTATGATTAACACCTTGTTAAATGGCTATAACCTTTTTTGAAATATAGATGAAACAGCAATAGACAAGGAAATTGTGATGAACTTATTGTAAAAGTTGTAGCGACAAATAATTGCGATGCTATAAGTTGCTGGGCCTTCACATCGGTCCATGCTTAAGTTGACATTATCACAGCAGCTATTTGATTTCTTAGTTGCATTCAACTGCATTCTTTATAAATAATTTGACATCAGTCCTGACAATTGATCATTTATTGTTGTTTTACCATGGCCAGGTGATCAGAAGACTACGGTATGGTATCTGCTTTTGGGGCAGGAGTACATCATCATAAGATGCGTCCGTGACACTAAACAGGACACTAAGGTGAATGGTTGAGGTATCTACCACGCATTTGTGTAAAGAGTTATTTAAGAGATACGGTATCATGACAGTACCCACCCTCTTTATATATGAGATGTCTATTTACGTTTAAACAAATATAAGTAAATTTAGGAAGATATTCACAGTGTATCCACTAGACCAGCGGTTCCCAAACTTTTTAAGTCGCGGAGCACTTTTGGACAGGAAAATTTAACGCGGAGCACTAGAGTAGGCTGTTTGATGGTTTCAACTGCCTGCAACTGGATATAGGTCTTTGTTCAATTTTAGAAACGTACATTGAAGAAACATATATTTATTAAACAAAAAGAACAACTAACTCTAGCACAGAAAAAAATGTAATATTTATTAAATATACCTAATATAAGCCAAAAGCAAATTTTAAAGTAATGTGTGAAAATAACATAAAACAAAAACTTATTTCGATACAAAAATGAAACATAAAACATACATCCAAAAACAAAACTACAACTACTTAATAAAACCACCAACTTTTCTAATGAGAAGGATGTGCTTGTTTTAATTTGCTTAATGCTGTGATGTTAGGTTCAATTTCAGACAACTGTAAACGAATATCAGGTTCTGTATTAAGACGCGACCGGTATTTAGTTTTGGTCATAAGATAAGCAGAAAATCCAGCTTCACATAAATAAGTAGTAGCAAAAGGGAGCAGAATAGTTTTTGCTTTATCTGACAGAAGATGAAATTCATGTCTAAGTTTACACCAAAATTCTATTATTGATGACTTTGTTAGAAATATATCTCGTATTCCAGAATCAGATGTCAAGTCGATCAAACATTCATATTCTTCAGATGTTAAACTCGCTGGCTTTTCAGGTATTGCGTTATATGGGTTTGCAACCCAAGAATTGTAATTCATTTTGTCATGAAATTCTTCTGGAAAATATTCCTGGTAATTATTGCGTAAAGTTATAAGATGAATATAGGACTCGTTCATAAGATCATTTGGTAGATCAAAATCAAATTCTTCTTTAAGTTCTTTTAACGACGGAAAGCTGTCCAAATTTTGTTTATTCAGGGACTCTGCCCAAAAGATCAATTTTCTTTTAAACGCTTTTATTCTGTCGTTAACATCAAAAACAGAAATTGACTTTCCTTGAAGTGACGTGCTTAAATCATTAGCTTTAGAAAAAATATCAGCCAGATATGCCAACTTTGGTATCCATTGCTCTTCGTTAAATCTCCCTTTTAATGCGAAGTCACTTTCCATCAAAAAACTCCTTACTTCGACTCTTAATTCAAATAGCCGAGTTAAAGTTTTGCCCCGTGAGAGCCATCTTACCTCCGTATGAAGCAGTAAAGTCGTATGTAGACTACCCATATCATCACACAATATTTTAAACAACCTGGAATTTAGGGGGCGAGATTTGATATAATTAATTATTCTTACACATTCATCCAAAACTTCTTTTAAGGAAGGTGACATTTTTTTGACGGCTAATGCGTGACGATGAAGAACACAGTGACTATTATTGCAGTTACTATGTTTTTCTTTAATTCTAGCTACAACACCACTTGTTTTTCCAGTCATAGCCTTTGCGCCATCGGTGCATACATCAATGCAATTCTTCCAAGGTATATCATGTGCAACAAAAAATTCGTCAAGCAATTTGAAAATCTCAGCCCCAGTAGTACTAGTTGGTAGTGGCTTGCAAAAAAGCAAATCTTCTTGAAAAGAGTTGCCAAATTGGAAGCGAACAAAAACTATCAATCCAGCCACATCTGTCGATTCATCAAGCTGTAGCGAAAAGGAACTACCTTTTATTCGAGAAATTAAAGTGTTTTTTACGTCATCAGCCATTTCTACAATGTGCCTAGAAATAGTGTTATTTGATAGTGGAACTGTAGTAACTAGTTTCACATCCTTTTCATCCATCATAGTTTCAATTATATCTTTGACGCAAGGCTTGATTAAAGTTTCAGCAATAACATGAGGCTTGCCTGCTTTAGCGATTCGGTAACTAACTAAGTAGGATGCTTTTAACGACCTTTCGTTCAGTGTCTGTGCATGAAAAGTTATACTTTTTTGTGTATTTTTTAATTCACTGGATTTTCTTTGAAAAAAATCATTCGGTTTGTCTTTACATTCAGGATGAACTCCTTCCAAATGTCGTCGCATTTTCGCTGGAAACATAGCACTGTTGGGTAACACTTTACCGCATATTACACATTGTGGTTTATTGTCGTTGGTTTCAATGAATCCTATATCCAGATAAGAATCATGGTATTTTCGTTTTGCAGTTTTTCTCTCACAAATACTCATCTTTGATGGACCAGATGTTTGACAATCAATTACTTCAGCTGATGTTAGTACACTCGCAACAGACTCGGATTTTCTCAATATCTGCAATTCTGTGTCTTCAGTGTGAGCTATTTCCCTATTTTCTTTTTCCATATTGCTAAAAACAATACTCGATTCAGACAAATACTTTTAAAAATAAGATTTTAAAAATCTGGCACCTACCCGTTCCCAAAAAACTCACACACAAGCACAAAAAACTGCTTTTGTAGTAGGGGAAATATGCCTAAAACGAAATATGCGTTGCCACTTATACAGTAATTTTTCAAACGTAAGTATCCCATTTTACCCGTATTTCCCCTACCTTTAAATGTACAAATCCGTACCTGTTGGAGTTAGATCCCTGCATTTCTGCATCTGTAGCTGAAATCGCTGTTTTCTTCAAAACACCTGTTTTAAGCCAAAGATCCATTATAAAACAAGTAAATTTAACCTGGAAATAGATATTTCACCATAAAAAAAGATACATGTATGTTAGTTAACCTACTTACGAATGATAACTTATCCCAACTTCAATTCAATTAGTGAAATTCAAAGGCACAATCGCAAAAAATAAATAAAAACTGTGTTATCTCTTTACGATGCACCCGACACACATTTAGCGAACGTAAATCGTAGGTTCCGGAAAGAACAAGGCATATCCTAGCATTAATACGAAAAAATACGATTGTTTCCGAACTGTTCCGGCGCACAGTACATTGAAGTGGCGCGGCGAATCTTTGCATTAGTAAGGGACTTGATGTAACATCAAGGAAAATATAACATTATAGGTATTACTTGAATACGATATTTCTCAGATGAAATCCGCGGAGCACTTGAAAACGTACCACGGAGCACCTTGTGCTCCGCGGAGCACAGTTTGGGAACCGCTGCACTAGACAATACGCTGATATGTAGTAGGTTATCTACCGTAGAATTAATTTAGGCTATAATGCATTGCATTGGAAAGAAACTTTGGAACAGAATACTCGATAATTTTGAGGAGAAGTGATAATTTGTGTCACCTTACTAGGTATTTCAATGAGTACCTGATACAAAATTGTTTTTATACAGCAGATGACTTCCTCAATACCTAATATTTTTGTTGTTGTTTTTGTTTTTCAGAGCCCTTCGCGGTTTTTCCTATCTCTCATTTAATTTTCTGTTTTACTGCTCCTATGCAATGGTAACATTTTGGAAATATATTATCATTATTAGTTCGCAAACGAACTATTTTACACAACAAAACCACATAACTCATAATCATGCCAGTAGAAACGCGGCCGTTCTTCCGATCGCCCGAGCTAAGCAGCATCGGATGCGATTATTATTTGGACGAGGTGGTACGAAAGAGCAAAAATTTGTCCCAGACTGTTTGAGATTATTAAAAAACGTTAGGGTCATATAGCGACATCTGTGCCATGAGCGGCTTTTGCCGAAGTCAAAAAGAATAAATAGACTAGAAGCCAATACAGATCAAATATTTGTCTATGGGCGGTACGCTGCATAAAATTATTATTTGTGCCGTCTTCGTGACTAACAACATTTGGTATAGTCGTTTTTAGTCACTTCATTTTATCCTGTTCGATGTCCTAGATCTAAACTAGGCAACCAGTTAAACACCTTCTGCTTAACTGGTAGCTCACGGTGACGTCCCGCCTTCTATCTCGTTCCTGTTCCTTCACTCGCAACTACTTCGCTTGGATCATCCGCATCCTGTAATGCCAGTGGTTTAGTTCATTTGCGAAATACAAATCACGAGTTGCCACCCATTCGAAAACGTCCAAAGTATCGAACGACAACGTCGCGATCAGAGCTGCGGTGATCAACTTGCCAGCTGCTGCGACTAGCTCGCGACATGCTTAGTCGTTATCTCGGATAAACGCGCATGAATATATTATCGCCAAAAAATTGAGATACAATGTCCCTCATGAAGTTTTCTAGCGACAGTCATGAAGAAGTATCCAAGCGTGATGTTTCAGTATTAGGAAAACTACATCACACATACCAAGGTAGTAATCGTAAGCAGGTTTTTGATTATTGCCTTTTTAAGTGATTTAAATTAGCCTTGGCATTGACCAGAATTATCATTTAACTGACTTTGAATTTTTCTTCGAGGGTTTTTGATTAGATATCTGTTTTAGGTGAAACAAGGGTACGAGAAGCATAATGTGCCAACGTTTAGGAGACATTATCATTCTAACCGAAGTCGGTGTAGTACAATTTGAAAACGAATTTATTTTAATATTCGCTTAAATGAAAAGGTTACTAGGATTTTGAGACATGATGTTTATTTTGCACCATCCCATGGACATAATCTCCGATCACTTTGACGTGCATGGTCCATGAAATCTCTGACCGCTCTGCTTCAATGCACATATTTTCTCCATGTTGTGTTTACTCGTATGATTTACGGCATTGTTAGCATGTACCGTTTTTATGTATACAAACGTTGTGGTTAAGAAATTTAATAAGAGAATGGTGTTATTAACAAATTAGGAAAATGATATACAGGTGTTTGCTGTGCGCTTACTGTAAAGACTTGATATTTCAAATAATGGATTTCTCAAACCGAGAACTCGACACAAGAAACCATCTATTTGTTCTGAAATCAGTACTCTTGAGATCTTGTTGGCCTACCGCATTAATTTTTTCTTATCGACAATTCAAAATATAAACAACAAAAACAAACAAAAGGGACACGTGCTATAAGCCCCAGCTCGATGAGGCCCCAAGTACCCAAAAGTCGAATATACTCTTCAGAAATATATCACTAAAATCCAATGATACCTCGGTGCGGTATAAATACTCATAGTGGAGGCAGGTATTTCACGAACTGTGATTTGTAAACTGACATTTGTAAATCATGAACCATGACCGCCAAATAGCGAGTATCGTATACCATCATAAGACTGCTATGGCGTGCCATCGAGATTGTCCCTTATACCTATGCTTTGGTAACTGCCTCCATGCGATTTCATTCAAAAGTCGTGAACAGGTTAATGTTTTAAACCACTGATATCAAAAAGTAACGATATCAGATATCGCAGATATCGGCCATCTCTAGTGGAGGATCCACCTAAACCTTTCTTAATCGCTACTGCTTGATACAGGGCGTGAAATTCTCGGCGCGCCTGGATCCCCTCCTGGTGCCATTGTGTATAGCTAAAATAGATTCCAATAGCGCCTTTCTTCACTAACACAAAGAAAATGAAGGTAAAATCACTGATCCGTTCCAGATTTATGTTGCTTCAAATAAAAGTTGCTACCCTCATTATCATGATCCATATTCAGAAATTCAAAATTCTCTGACACACAACACGAGAATGATACTGTTACTCCAATGTTGCTGTGAACAGTAGTCTCGAATGGATTTAAGTTTGAGAGTCTGCCATGGTTGAGCAAAGTTCTGCTTACATGGTCTACTTTGAAATATTAATGAATTTCATTCATCTTCGTTCCTTTACTTTTTTATTTTTTGTCAGATTTTCGCATAAATGGATCATTGTATGCCATCTCCGTTACATGTAGATGGAACCTGAACCTGTTGTGTGCTGTGGTCAAACGGCAGTCCAAGCTACAACCCTTTGCTGCTTTTCTTGAGAGATCAGCTGAAATGCAGAGGACATATGGAACTTCCATTTGACGAGTCTTGTGCCGTTGTGTCCAGTGTAGCATTCTAAAATGTATCAACAAAAATCTTATGGTGATTGGAATAAGTTACTATAACCTTTTGCAACTATGTACCTAATTTATTTGAGTCTTTCAAGGTGTAATGAGGACTTAACAACTGCCATTCGCTATCGCCTTATGTCACCAGATCCTTACATAGATGAAAACTGTTCAATGAATTTATAGCTCCCTAACCGCTTGTTAATCCACCGAAAACAATCCTGAAAGCAGAGCTATGTCACGGCATCTCACGCGTCCTGGTATTATTAATTAGGACGAATGGTTACATAATGTTGGTAGTGGGAACAGGAGGAAAAGCGGAGGGAACGCGGTCGCTGCCTGGAAAAGATAAACGACTTTGGTTGTGACGTGATGACCACTTGGACATTCTGATGTTTGGCTTACAGAAAAAACATGTGTGTATAGAGACTGAAGAGGATAAACTGCGAGATATTATTTTGATGGAAGTAAAATCTATTTAGATCTATGAAGTACATCTGATTTTGCTATATGAGTCCTTGATGAGGCTTGGTCTAAAGAAACGCCAACTACATTGTCTAGACCTGATTCGGATGAGTGCAGTTTGATTAGTTGATGATACCAGTGGCGTAAATAGAACTTCAGTGCGCATCTAACCCGCCCCCCTAACTTACAGGGATGTGCTAATAATATCTGTAAACATAATGAAAATAGAGTGGTACAAAAAATGTATGGTGGAACGCGTCTCAATACTAGAAATATATTTTGTAATTATAATTACATATTATGAACAAAACGTAATAGTGTAATGACATCAATACCCATTTTTTGACAGTGAAACCGTATCTGTTAAAACATTGGAAGCTTATCAAGGTATAGGTGAGACACTTTAGTTCTCGTAATTTTCTATTATACCTTTATGCGGAGAAAGAAAAAAAATCAAGGGATGGTACCTCCGAATTCCGCGGTTATGTTTTTTCGAACTTTCGGTTGGCCAAGAGAACAGAAACATAATGTGGCTTTAGTGGCTATTTCGACAACACTTAAGGCTTTTCTCAGAGGGAGGTGAGCGTGAACCCTAACGTCGTTTTGAGTCAGTAGAGATTATAATAGCACCTAAATGCTCTCCGTACCCCTTCTGTGTTGTAGGATTTCAAAATAAAAAGTACATTAAGCTTGCCACTTCTTCTCGTATACCTACAAGATGGTGTAACTAGAAATTCTATATAACATCTTGTCTCTTGCCCTCAACCATCAACTTTATCTTTTCTACTAGACATATTTGATTCTTTTTATAATATGTCAAACATTCATGTTAAATATGAGGTATATCAAGGAAACTAATATTCTCAATATTCTCATAGTTGGCTTTGGAAATGACAGTATATTCGATTAAATATCAATGCATCAGTGTTTGAGAACCGTGTTTAAAAGAAATTCAGAAGATTTGCCCATTTAACGACTAAAATAAGCGTTATTTTAGCGCAACGGAGGTGCTATATATGGCACCTCAGCCGCATTTAAATGCAAGAAGTGTACATCGGTTTAGATGTGGTACGTTTAAAATGTGGATAGAGAGCTGCTAGATTGTCGAGACTTTTACTTATTGTAAAATGTTTCCATCAGTTATATTTATACAGTTATATGTTTTCAATACGACCATAAAATAATATAAAAAGCTTTTGTATTAGGTTGTTCTTTACTTGTTCTTTATTCGATGAGACAATCATTAAAACCAAAAATAGGTACTAAGATATCTATCAGAAAAGTGTTACTACACCGTCGACGAATACCTAACTGCTTAATTTTATTTATTTATTCTTTTTATTTATTTATTAAGCTTAACGGAAAATAAACAGTCTATTTATTGCTCCTCTTCTAGACATTTTAAGTGCTCAATTGTTTTTATTTATTTAAAATAGATTTTTTTTTTCATGTTCGTTAGATGTCATTGAGAATTTGTTTGTGTTTGTAACGACTCCTATTTTATTTATTTATTTGTTTATTATTTATTATCTCAATTACTGTTTTAATTAACTACCTGATCTTTTTTGCATATCGCATACTTATGTATTGTATACTAAGTGACATATAAATCCGAACACCCAGTTTAAATGGTTTTATTTTAATACAATTTTGTATAAGTACTTAATGAAGCATAGTAAGTAAATGGTAAAAATTTCAAAATGATTGCATTGCTTTAAAGCCCTTTGACCTTTAATAATGTGTGGATGCACCCTGATGTGCTACGCATTCTCCAACGCGCCTAGGCATGCTTCTGATCAGGTGGTCAATGTCCTCCTGTGGTATCTCATTCCAGGCAACCACCAACTCCTCTTGAAGTGCTTCTAGAGTCTGAGGAGGACGTTGCAAATTGAGCAATCTCCTACCCATCATATCCCACACGTGCTCAATTGGGGATAAGTCGGGAGATCTTGGTGGCCATGGTAACAATGTGACATCATTGTGTTGAAAGAAGTCTATTGTGATTCTTGCAACATGTGGTCGGGCATTATCTTGTTGGAAAGTTGGATCTGCCAGGGTGTCAAGATAGGGAAAAAGATGGGGTGCTAGAACTTCGTGGATATAACGCTGCGCGTTCATGTTACCTCTGATGAAGATTAAAGGTGACCTGGAACCATAAGCTATAGCACCCCAAACCATAACTGCAACAGTGTGATGAACATGTCTTTCAACAAAAAACGGTGAATTCCTCCTTTCACCACGTCGCCTTCTAACCCTGGCACGACCATCGTGCATGCCTAAACAAAATCGAGACTAGTCACTAAAGACAATACTGTTCCATTCCTGATCCCAGAGTGACCGTTGTCTGCACCACTCAAGGCGATTACGTCGGTGTTCTCGAGTTAAAGGGAGGACCCAGTGTGGCCGGTATGAAAACAAGCCAAAACTTCTCATTCGTCGGTAAACACTTCGCATGCCAATAGGTCTTCCGTGTTCTGCAAACCATTCATTTGCAATGGACCTGGTAGTGGAGAAACGGTCCCTTAAGGCCAATAATCTTAGACGGCGATCTTCACGGTCTGTTGTTCTACGGCGGCGTCCAGTGCCCCTTGCTCTTTGCGTACGGCCTTCTCGAAGCCATGCCTGACAACACCTAACCACAGTGTCTACACTTCTTTGCACTCTAACTGCAATTGCCCGAAAAGAAAGTCCAGCTTCCCGAAGTCCCACTATACGGCCCCTATCAAACTCACTAAGTTGATGAAATCGTACAGGTCTCCGTACTCTAGGCATCGTAACCGATCGTAAAGGATGTCAAGAACCAAAATCCGCCAACGTTGATTCTTTACTGCAGCTGAAATATTCATTTTTAGAGCGTTAGTGAATAAAAAAAAAGCAGTATAAAAACCGGAATGTCCAACTGATAAGGCTGAAAATTTTTTCACTTGTTATTTACAGTAAGATAAATACATTCACCAACTTTTATTAGAATAAAATCATTTAAACTGGGTGTTCGGATTTATATGTCACTTAGTATATATGTAATGTTGACAAGTCTTATGTCATAGCTATTTATGACCAAAAGACAATAAAGACTATTCAAGCATACTTAGAAGATAAAAAGTGAAGGAATGCTTGGTTGATGATATTGTGAAACAAATGACTACTTGATCATTTCAAGGCCCATTTAGAAAATTGTTTCTTCGAAATAACTAGTTTCAATTTTGTTTCTTTTGTCTATCTTCGGCAATACTCGGAATTGCGAAACTTTCTAATTTCCATTTTCTTAGTTACTTAAATGTGCAACGTTCCCCTCTTGTCATTTCCGAGATTCCATTGGTACACTAGCTCAACCACAAAGTAACAAACGAAAGATGAATTTCTTCCTTGCCCGTCTCTGTTGACAAGACCCCACAGTCCATCCCAACTCCCAACTTCCGCCCCTCAACTCCCGAGTTCGGCGGCCGCTGGTGGGCCGAGAGTTCCCTCAGCGTACATCGGGCCATCCCAACTCCGTCCGAACTTATCGCCCGTTCTGAATAAACACAGACTAATCTACAATGTTGCAATCTAGCCGGCTTAGCTCTCTAATATTAAATCTACCGGGTAATGTGCGGCCGGGGAGATACACGACCTAATAAATAGACGTTTCTCTCTCGCCATCCTCAAGTATCAATTCCGTCCGTAATTGTTTCAACCCGCTGGCCGATGTGGACCAGCCGCTCTGTTTGACGGTTCGCATCCATCGGCCTAATTGCTAGTTACGCTGCTTTTGCACCCTATGTACAGACCACAACAAATATATTTTCGGATGTACCCTCCTTATCGTTACCATCATACGAAGCTTCTTAGATATGTTCCACTACTAACGGAACCATTATGGATGTTTATACATGTATAAGCTAACAGCCATACCAAGAGAATGTATGTTGTAAGGGTGCAATTTTCCTCATTCATTTGCACTTAAGATTTTAAAACATATTTTCAGCGACGGATCTCTTGTCTATCGGTCGCACTTCCCGGGGTTGTCAATATTGCATCTTCGCTCACTATCACATAGTGTCACTTCGTTTCAACTTGCACGATTTTCAGTTTTACTTCTTTGAGTTATTTTTCTAGTTACTCATAATTTAACTTATCACGTCTACTAACGAGAAAGTATTGCAATCGCTAAAAATTTCGGATAGCAGCGGAAAAAAATCCCAAAAACGAAAAAAATAAAAATCACTTCGTTTGTTTCGTTTTTGAGGATCCTGATCATTATTGTTAAAAATCTGTTAGGGGAAAAAATTGGGGGTTTGTATAGGAACGGGGGGAGGATGTATCACAGTTTCTTGATGTAAAAATACAAATACGCTCCAAACCCGGTAACTTTACGCACATTTAAACATATTTGACACGTCATAGATTTCCGCATACATTTGCCCTTAAAACAGAAGATTATTTTCAGCCGACGGGTCGAGTACCTATCGGTCGCAGTTGCCATGCGTCACGGGGTTGTAAATGTAGTGAATCCGATGGACATAAAAGCAGGTAGTAGACGGCTCGGTGACGTGGTATGCCCATACGAGTGTAATTTATTGAGATTTCATGAATTCGTGAGATAGTATTGTATAATATAGCATACAAGTACGTATCAAGAGCCATTAGAATCAGTTATCAAAAATTGTTGACAAACAGTTTTACACCAACGCTTAAAAAATGTTTTTTCGGTTTTTCGGATCCAGTTTGCAAACAAAAAGCTCGATGTACCTTCAGGCACGAGCGACGTTTTGTTTTTCACCTAATTGGGAGGCGGGGCCGGAAAATGCATGCCAGATTCTTCGGAATCTAATACCTCCGTGAACTCGGGTGTCTGGTGTATGTGTCGACATCTAAAGGAGTATCCGTTTTTTAAAGAGCTCTGAATAAACAGGTGTTGATACAGGTAACCGAGGTTCCGCAAGTCCATATCATTATAACAAAAATCAAATGCTATACTCAAACAAACAGATACAAGACACACTACTATTCTCGACGGTGAAGCATAGGTTCAATTCGTAATTTACCAGATCATTTATCAACATTTCAGCAACACCTGGGTTTCACAGCTATCTACAATCCTTAATCAAAGTATACGCTCCTTTTCCACTACAAACATAAACGTTTATAGTTATTTTATGTATATCCCTACATCTGAGAAGCCAGACAACCATTTATCATTCTAATTTCATTTCAGTAGCATAATAAATTAAACAACTATCCTAATATATGCACATATGAATACCAATGTCCGCACGATTATTTATACCATTACGAATTTTTAATTCTTATCCCAATTTACATTCTTCTTTTACTAAGGTGCAAATTGTTTTTCTATTATAGTCCGATCAAAGAAACATTTGCTGCAAAATCACATGGAAGGGGATTTTGAGACCAGCTATCAATAGCTTCACGTTGACTTTTGAGAAGTATGGCAATCAGATCGCCATCATACCGATCATTTTATATAATACTGGTGTCGGTCTTCTATGTTCTCACTAGCGAGAATAAGTGTGTTAACCATTCTAAACAGCATCAAATCGTTTTCAAGTTCGCCGAAGAAAAACTTATCCATGTCATTGCTCTTGATATCACGAAAACCTTAGATTAGCTGTGGCACTCCGCCCACTTATACAAACTTCCACCCTATTACCTCATAGACAGGCTTTGAGGTTGGCTGACTGACTTCCCCTGGCCGCAAGATATCCACCACAATTGACGGGTTTTCCTCTTCGTCCGACAATGTCCACGCTGGTGTTCTCCAGGGATCGGTCTTGGTTCCGACAGTGTTCCTTTCCGCTACGCTCCTTCCCTGAACGATCAACCGGATCGACAGCTTTGCCGATACAGCACTCTACATGCAGGAATTAAAAATGACCAGTCGATCGCTGCCAGTGAGCTGGAGAAAAGAACACTGAGACTTGGAGGTTATCACTGCTTGGGGGCTCAACAATCCGCTATGGTTTAATGCACCTTGTCTAACAAGAAGCGCCCTAGCGCTCATCTGGTTTTGATGGATGACCGATTTTTAAAAAAAAGCCATTGATTTCGGCTGGTCGGAGTTCAGATCACCGAGGACTTGATCTGACAAAACAAATCTCGACAATAGCTGCAGCTGCTGGAAAAAATCTAGGCTCTTTGTTCAGGGCTAAGAAGTACTTCTCTCCACATAGCCTCCTCAGTCTGTACAAAGCCTCAAGTACTGCTCATATGTTTGGGGTGCTGCCATCCCGACCACGTTATCTATGATCGATGCTGTTTAGAGGAGGGCTGTTCGACTGATCGATGACTTCGGTATAAAAAAATGAACTGGATTAATCTATTTAAATGTGCTTTCCAATGAGTAATTTATAAAATGTCCATTAACAAAGGATTCTGAGCAATGGTTGTTATGGTACTAATTCCACCAGGCTGTTACTATGTTATATTACATTTATATCGTACAAATTTGTAAATGCTTGTGTGTGTTTTGACAAATTAGAATATTGGCATATGAGATTTGATTAAGCGAACTTGTTAAATAAGAAGCAATAATAAAATACTGGCTTGGCTTGTGGTTGTGTGGGTTTTTTGAGAGCATACGTAGGTTGCTTAGAAGAAATGAGACATTATGATTTAGAATCAATGTACTTAGGTAAATAATCCACAATGATGGTATTTTTAATGACCAGTAAAGATTACGTAATCGCGCATTTCTGCAGGTAATCCACATTTATTTGCACATAAGCTCATACAATTATGCACATTTACGAGTAGCATTTTTTTATTCTGAAAACCTTGTGACATTTCATGAAAGCAATAATGATAAACACTTGTGTAAAAGAAAAACATTTTGACCCGCTAATATTTCTTGATGATGCTTCAAAATTGTTTGCACGAAAGCTATCAGCCAGTCGGAAAACACATGGTTTGTAAGGATTTCGCACATTCTTCTGAAAAAAATTTGAATCGGTCCAGTGACGGAGTTATGAGCGAAGAACGAGAAATCTCAAGAAAATCCAGAAAAACATTTTCCAGTTGAAGAGTCTAGAATTACCAGAAAAATGCCAAACAGGTAGACAGAAATGAGTGACATGTTTTAGTTCCTACGCTACTGGGCGAGAAAGTCTGTATGTCTGTTTGTTCGTTAATACTTGGCCTGTCTATAACTTGAGAAGCGCTGCTTGGATTTGGATGAAATTTACACACAAGGTTGTTACTATGTCAAGGATCAAAAAGCTCTGTAGTTTTTAGAAAAACATTTGTAGGGGTTGAAATTTGGGGGTTGGGGGTTGGGGGTTGAAAATGCCTTGACCTTAGTATACTTACACATTTCCTACCCCGGTAATGTCATGCATCTATTAGCCATACTTCGCACGTCATAGATTTCTGTCTCCCCTCACCTTCATGCTGGCATCAACAAACGTTCGGGGGTAGTTATTCTGGGAAAGAATCTCTCTCACTTTCTTTAGATTAGTAGGTCTGTTATTAGGGTTTAGCAACAATACTGTCCAGTTTGTGAAACTGTTGATGACACTCTCTCTGCTTGTAGGTATTCGGAATATGGAATATAACTCAAATACATACCAGACCTCACATTCTGAAAATGAGCCTCATTGCTTCAACAATTATATCGAGGAAGATATCCTTCCTAACAGTTTCAATTTCTTTTGTGAACTGGAAGTGATTGAGTTAATTAAAAATGATTTTGGTGTGATTTTTATGTAAGCAGAGTAGACAATCATCTGCATATCTCTTATAAAAATATTTTTTTGACTGTCAAACTTTCAAGAACAGTATTTCCAGTTTTTCCATAACCAAGTTTGCAATTGTAGAGGAAATTGGTGAGCCCATTGCAGTCTGGGAGAAGCTATTCTCACATAAAAAATACGTTGTCTTTAAACAAAACTCTACAGCAGTTTTGAAATATTCTGGAAGAAAGAAAGTGAAATTCTTTAATTCATCGCTTCTCAATCCAAATCAACTGGAATGTTAGTAAATAAAGATAGCGACATAGAAAACTACTATAAGAGCTCATCGTTAATCTGCATAATTACGGGAAAAATGAGAGCGTGGAACGCTTTCGATTTTGTTGTCCCTTGGCTGAAGCGGGTAATGAAAAGTAAACCAGCCAGAGTCGATGTTAACAGGGCCACGATTCTTGAATCCAGCTATAGAAGAACTTCTTCTGGTTGGAAGTTGTGCAGGTTTGAGTTCGGTTCTTAGTGCTATGTTAGCGAAAAGTTGAGAAAGTCACGTGAAGAATTAGGAAAATCGGAAGAAAAGGCATTGTCGAGTCATCACCACGTGGTGATTATCATATGCCTCGTTCCCAGCTGGCGTGTCCACGCCTGGAAATCAAACTTGTTTGATACCGGACGCGAGGGTGGACTCGTCTTTCGATGATGTCAGAGGCAAGCTCACGGCACCTCATTCAAATGGGGGCAATTCCACGAGTTCGTGCAGTGCGCCATGAAAACATAGCTTTAATGGAAGCGAAAACACACCTCATTACCATACCCATCGAAGGCAAACTGGATAACAGTGGGCTCATCTGCATTTTTATCGGGAACTGTTTACTTCGGTGCCCCCTGTCAAAGACCTTGGCCACCCACACCCTGCCCCATCTTCCCTCATTTTCCTGTGTATCTACTTAACATGGTTAATATTGATTGAGTCTGGCAACTTTGCATAATACGTAAGTTGGCAAGTTTGCGAAGGTCTGTTCGGACATTCCTAATTTCTACAGAGTGTTCATTATGCTGTCTATTAAGTGCACTTGAACGTCTAGTTAATACTATCAAGACTTCATTATTGAAGTGGACTAGTAGTACGGGAGACACAGTTTGCAGGGTGATTCAAAAAACAATGGCAACATATCTAGAGCACCATCCAAGATAGCATAAAGGCACTTACAAATAGAGTCTCATTACTGAGATACAGGGTGTTGTGAGTGTATATGCCACTGGTCAGACTTTGTGAGCACAAAGCATGTATATTGTTCAAATAATGCTATGGCAAGATGAAACTACCCTCCAAATATTCCTAATAAAACTGTAATAGATGCTGAACGAAAAATAACATTGTTTTACTTCCTACGCCTACTGGCGAGGAAGTATTGTAATCGCGAAAAAATGAGATATTCGGTTTTTGGTTGTTATATGACATGTACATACTCGTACAGCACGAAAAACCATGTCGGTGATTTCCGTCGGTCTGTCTGTCTATCGGTATGCCTATCGGTCTTTCCGCTAATTCTTGGCTCGTCTATAACTTGGAAAGCACCTGTCGGATTTGGATGAAATTTGTCACAAGGTTACTTCTAAAAAGAGAAAATGATCATTTCGGGCCTGATGGAACCAACAAGCAGAAATACGTATCGCTCAGTTTACCTATCCTATCTTCTGCTCGAATTCACTTTCCGTCTTTTTGCGGTATTTGCCCATTATTTTTCTATTTGAAATATATATATCATCTCATGTATTGCGAATTGGCAAAACATAGAGCATAGCTTTTGACGGTAATCTCAAGCTTTCGACGAAGTATGTTAATATCTTCAGGAGCTAAAACACAATTATGAAAATAGCAACCAATTTATAACAGATTCAAATTATTAACCCGTAACCACAGACGTCTAATCAATTGAACATTACCACAGACGTGGAGTCAAAATGACTCCTATATTGGAACCCATGGAAAGCCTATTTGAAAAATAAAAACAAGTTTACCTCTATCTTATATTACTTAAATAGAATTGTTTTAATACTGTTTTTAATAACAATTTTCGTCAGTAAAAAGCAACCAAGTTTTGAAGAAATATATTTATTGCACACAATTTTCGTGAATATTTACAATAACATCTTTGGTACATTTTTAGGATAAAAAAAAATTAAATGCGAAGTACTTTTCATACAAAACTCGTTAAAAACGTAAAACAGAATACTTACAATAATTATAAATTAACGTGAAAGTAATATTCTCGAAACGTGCAGTAGGTTTTACCAAGTTATTTTTTCATTTTGCACAGTCCACGCAAACTCTTCTAGTGCAATCCATACATATTGGGATTTTACAAATTATGCAGGAGTGTGCTGTTTTTCGTCTTTTTTTAGCTGGACAACGTTTGCAATATTTTCTGACCTCAAATTTTTCTTCCTGGTTAGCAGTATGGTCTTCTATTTTTAAAATCCGACCAATACACATTCTGACTTCCCGACTGATGCGCATATTTTGAAAACGACGTCTCATTTCTGGTTCCACTAGCAGCATTGCAAGATGTTTATTGAAATTGAAACGTTTCGTTTCGACATTATCTCGGCATGACTGATGAACCAAAAAAGAGTTGACAGTGGAAATATCCAGCATTCTATAAAAAAGTGCCATTGGCCAACGCCGCGTTCTTCGACCCGTCGAATAAACACTACACTTTTCATCTATGCTATCTACCCCCCCTTTTGTTAGATTGTAAAAGTCAATTATTTCTGGTTTGCCGGATTCCCCTACCTTTCCTTCATTATGGTGCATTGAGGAGACCAATAAAACAGCCTTGTACTTCTTTGGAACGTAAGAGAGTAGGGTAATGTCACTGGTAAAACCGTACAAACTAGAACCTATAGATCTTTGTTTGTTTGGTAGAAAACTAACTGGAATTTCACCTTTATTTTTTTTTATCGTTCCAACGTAGGTCAGGCCTTTACTTTTTAGTAAATTTACTAATTCTATGGAAGTAAACCAATTATCGGCAGTTATGTTTCTGTGCGTGCCGAAAATTGGCTTAGCAAGTTTGAGCACTGCTTGCGTGGGCTTGGAATATAGTTTTTCAGTATCAGACAAGTCGAAACCATCCGAATCTTTGCCACAATAAATATATGCATTATATAGATATCCAGTTCTAGCGTCGGTCAAAGCCATAACTTTTAATCCATATTTACAAGGCTTTGCTGGCATGTACATTTTAAATTTTGAGCGTCCTCTAAATGAAACTAACATTTCATCTATACACATATTTGTACCTAGAGTGTAAGCGCTTTGAAAATTTTTAATGAAAGCATTGAATATCTCAGAGATTGGAGCTAATGGGTCATTCTTTTTACGTTCGAGTCTAGTTTCTGGGTCATCGAATCGTAAGCATACAAGAATAATAGCAAAACGATTTGAATTCATCACACATCTGAATATATCTCTACCCGATCCATCCGTCACAAAAATTGAACGAATGTCTTCATGATTAGATTTAAAGATAGCTGTAAGCATAAGCAGTCCAATAAAAGCCTTCAGCTCAATAACATCTAAGTCACGAGTATCACTTGAGTTTTTGTTTTTATACTTTTCTCTCAATTTTGCCATACGTAAATTGGAGTACTGAAGAATAATCTGAATTTGTCGGTCATCAAAGAAAAGATTCCAAACCTCTTCTGGATCGGCTTTGTGAAGATTTATACTTTTTACACCCGGACACTTGATTACAATATTGTGTTGCAAAGTACGTGTATTTTTAGAATATGGGGGTACTTTGGACCATTTGAAACGGTTTTTTCCATAGAAATAGTTTCCTGTAGAAGCGCCGATCGATGTCTCATCGTCTTCAGTAGAAAGTCTTTCACAATCTGCGTCCATATCTTGTTCCGATCCGCTCTCATGATCACTGTAAATGAATTCGGCATCTGAATCAATATCACTGTCGTCTTCATCGACCTCATCCGCCCATTTCAGCAAAGTTTCTTCAAAGTCCGGATCCCCATATCTAACTCTCTTTGACGGACCAGCTCTGCTATCAAAATCCATCATAAAAACCTAAAATTAATCGAACAGATTCATGAAATACAGTAACAAAAATATAACATTGTCACAGACCTGTAGTCTTTTTGACTCCGCCGAAAATACAAGTCGTAATGAAATGTAAATAACGTACACAAACAACGCAACCGTCTCAGCGCTAGTTCAATACTACTCGATGAAAAGGTACGTCTACGCCTAGTCAGATAGAGTGGGGAGAAAACGAGAAATTCCCCACCACGTACTTGCAAGGAGTCAAATTGACTCCGCGTCTGTGGTTACGGGTTAAACTACTTATTCGTCGATGAGGTTGCAGCTAGGTGGTGTTTTAGAAGGAAAGCGTGAATGAGAACACTTGTTAAAATTAAAAGATCGGGCACATCGTTTGTTGTTAAAGACGGAACACATCGCTATGCGTTACAACCGTTCATCAAAAAACCCGACCAATTTAAAAAAAAATTGAAAACACTCAAGATGTTAAAAAATAACTCTACATTTAGGGAAACAGAAAATTCTTTTTTAACACCATATACTTCTTGCACGTGGTGAGAGTGAATGCATCCGGAAATTTGACGTGGTAGACAGATGACAGATGTACTCATAAAAGAATGTGGAAGTGTAAAAATTTTGTTTCCAGGTATAGTCATTACGAGTGGCGTTATCATATTACCATGAACTTAAAATAAAGATTAATTTTGGTGAAGCAAATGAAAAATAGGCTAGTTAAAATCTCCGATAGTACTTTCCATCTGTCTAATGTTAGGAAGCTTAAAACTTTATTCTTCAATAATGGTTATCCGAAGTATTTGATTAACAGAATCCTGTTCAGCTCGCCTTCTAATATTGTGCCAATTCCTAATAATAGTAATGGCAATGACAACCCCACCATTTCTAGCCAAACCCCCAGTAATTCTTTAACTGATAATAATGATAATATTACGGATGATGCTTCCAATGCCAGAGTTATTGTGTTGTCTTGCCATACATCAAATAATTAACTCCCAAACTGATCAGGTTGTATAACTCCTTAAATTGTCGTTTTACTTGTAGATCACTACTCACAGCGAACAGTATGTTTTCCAAAATGAAGGATAGGGTTCCGTTGCTTGATTTGACCAACACTGTCTATTGCATTAATTGCAACAACTGTAATTTAGTTTAGATAGGCCAAACATCTAGATCATTAAAAGGCAGGATAACCTCACATAAAGGTGACGCCAGATTACGCTCAGAGTGATGTGCTTTGACATGACATGTTAACACGACAGGTCATTGTATGAGTTATGACAGTATTAAGGTTCTTTCAGAAATGTACCAGATGTTCATGACAAATCACTGAATGAATAAAAAGGCTGATGTTTAAGCAAATTACTATCATTTATTCTTACTTGTTGAACTGCGAAAAATTAGAATGATTACATATTTCAGTTACTCCAACATCTTCCCAATAATAGAGCAAAAAAAATCTATTATATATTCCGTAAAATAAAGGAAAATTTTTCAAGTTTTCGTAATAATAAATATTAAAATTTTTCCACACAACCCATCTTTGCTGGTGTGTCATTATCATGATTTGTTCATAGAAAGTACACTTTGCCAACATGAAAATAATTCAGCACTTTGTGAAATATGTAGAGTAGTTTCAAACGTCACTATATATAGGGTGTTAAAAAAGAATTTTCTGTTCCCCACAATGTAGAGTTATGTATGTATAAACTTGAGTATGTTTTCTACTTTTTTTTTAATTGTTCGAGTTTCTTGATAAATGGTTGTAACGCGTAGCTACGGATTTCAGCTACCGAAAATTACAAAATACTTTGTCGAAAGCTTGAGATTACCGTCAAAAGAGTTCACTACGCTTTTAGTTTTGCCAACTCCTAATAAACAATTTAATTGTATTTTTTGCCCAACTGGTATTTGGCAATGGCAATGACTACTGCTCGCATTATATATATATATAGAGAGAGAGAGAGAAAATGATCATGCGGAGAAAGGTATATAACAAAAAGTAGGAAAATAATGAGCAAAATCCGCAAAAAGGAGGAAAGTGGATTCGAGCAGAAAATAGGATAGGTAACCCGAGCGATACGTATTTCTGCTGGTTGGCTTCATCAGGCCCGAAATGAATGCACATATGAAACTACCAAAGTAGATACACATGCCCACACATCCGGATACGGGTGTAACCTGAAGAAACGAAGATGGAGAGGGAAACAAAACGACACACGAAGTCCACAACAATACATTGTAGTACCAAACGGCTAGAAGACCTCGAATTTTCAAGGAGACATCTAACCACAACCGCGCGGCCAGTTATAGCCACTTGCTGTGCTACTTCAAGCCCAAAGAATCTACAAAGAGAAAATGATCATGCGGAGAAAGGTATACAGGGTTATCCAAATTAAGTGTCCACCATTAGTAACTTTGTTATTAGTGAAAATACAAAGTTGTTTGAATTAGCAAACTAGTAGCGTTTTTAACGCTGGTAAAAATGAGAAATAAAAAAAAACAATTGAGAGTCGTTATTTTGATTTTTTTCAGTAAAATAACATTTTTTTAAATGGAAACCCCTGTATATTATATTTTTTTCTGTTAAAGCATCAAATTTTAAACAAAAAAGCTTACAATAACTTTTCTCCTAGGTTACAAATTGTTGAAGTTATGGCCTCCAATCTGAAACAATTAAATTGTATCGACAAACTTTATTTTCAACATCAACTTATAATCTTACAAAATACAATAACAATTTTTTTTAAAGAAGATGCTCGAAAACACCACCTTGTTCTTCAATACATTTTTGGGCACGTTTTTCAACTGCTCGAACTGTCTTAAGTATGGTCCTACCATCTATCTGGGTTATCTTTTCCCTAACTGCAGTCTTTAACGCGTCAAGGTTATCGTACCTTCGCTTGTAAATTTGGTTCTTTAAGTAACCCCACAAGAAGTAATCAAGTGGGTTTAGATCTGGTGATCTGGGAGGCCACTGTATTGGGCCATTTGTTCCTATACACTGATCATTAAAAGTAGTACTTAGAAAATGATAAGTACCTCTGGAGTTGTGGGCAGGTGCGCCATCTTGCTGAAAATGCAGATGATGTCTACTTATAAGATCCAATTCGTCTAAGAAATTAGTCAGAATTTCTGACATAAATTCCACATATCTTTCACCAGTTAGGGTTCCCTCATAAAAGAACGGGCCAACAATTTTTGAACCAATTATACCGCATCAAACGTTGAAACTGAAACGGACTTGTGGGCCTCTTGGATGTACTAACAAAAGATTTTCTCTTGACCAATAATGGTGGTTTTTTCTATTAAACATTCCAGAATTTGAAAAATTTGATTCATCTGTCCATAAAAGGTAACGAAAGTTATTTACATTTTGGCGACAGAAGCTAAGATACCAATGGCAAAAAACAAGTCTTCTCTCTGGATCCCCTCCCAAAAGCGTTTGAACTGGTCGGTACTTATACGGAATAAATTTGTATTTTTTTAAAATCCTTTGAACAGTACCATAACTGAAATTAGAGTCCTTGAGAATATCTGCTATTGAATTCTCACGATAAGCTTCAAAATATCCAATAACTGCAATTTCCGTGGCCTCGCTTATTATGAATTCTTTTTTTGCCCTTGTTTTAGCAAAAACATTTTCGTTGCCCCTAAATTTTCGATAAAGTCTCAGAAAATATCGTTCATATGGTTGAATGCGAGCGGGATATAATTCACTGTAGTATTCTCTTGCTCTCAAGGAGGATTTTCTGCACACTAAATAGCATTCTAACATATCACACTTTTCTTCATGGGAAAACATTTTTCTTTAAATTAATGACACAATAAAGCTTATAAACAAGTATTTACACTAATGTTTGATATTATTTGATTTTATCATTGTTTTCCAAAGCCTTCTAGTTGCGAGTATGTCCAGTTTAACAATTTGTCGCTTATCTTAATGCTGTCAAATCGCGAACGCCATGTTGTTTTCATAGCCGTCTTAATATTATAATACTGCAAATAATTAAAAATATTTATCGTTATTTTGACTTTATTTTTGACTTTAGCGGAAAAGTCATTATGAACTTTTTTGTTTAAAATTTGATTCTTTAACAGAAAAAAATATAATATACAGGGGTTTCCATTTAAAAAAATGTTATTTTACTGAAAAAAATCAAAATAACGACTCTCAATTGTTTTTTTTTATTTCTCATTTTTACCAGCGTTAAAAATGCTACTAGTTTGCTAATTCAAACAACTTAGTATTTTCACTAATAACAAAGTTACTAATGGTGGACACTTAATTTGGATAACCCTGTATAACAAAAAGTAGGAAAATAATGGGCAAAGAGCCAACCTACGCATTGGCTCTTGTTGTGGACTTCGTGTGTCGTTTTTTTTTCCCTCTCCATCTTCGTTTCCTCAGGTTATACCCGTAATCCGGATGTGTGGGCATGTGTATCTACTTTGGTAGTTTCATATGTGCATTCATTTCGGGCCTGATGAAGTCAACCAGCAGAAATACGTATCGCTCGGGTTACCTATCATATTTTCTGCTCGAATCCACTTTCCTCCTTTTTGCGGATTTTGCCCATTGTTTTCCTACCTTTTGTTATATATATATATATATATATATATATATATATATATATGGTATTAAATGTAAAAATGTACAGTGTGTTATCTGTTGTCTAAAAACATAATACCGATGGTAGTATTATCCTGCACAAAACAGACTGTAAGACTCTTAAAAGGGAGACAAGAAGTTGACAAGGAATATGGTATTGAAATGTACATTTCAAAAAGTAGTGGGTATTGTGACCAGGTATATGGATTGCTACTTTCATTAAGGTGTGTTAAATTAAGAATTTGCATTATGTTGCTCTATGCATTGCATTACCCATACATATGTCTTGGACCAGTAAAACTACGTTGCTGTCGGGTTGTTCAATCTTCATTTTTTATTCAGTGAAACGCATCGAACCGAATTCCCCATGTAACTCACAAATAGATTTTTTCATTTCACTTACAATAAAAATAAAAAGCAATTTTACTGTTAAAATAAAAACTCGTTTTGCAGTTTAATTAATAAAATTCGGACGAAATATTTGAAATAGTTTATGTTATGTACTTAGCGTATACACATACGCATACATAGGCACATGCAGTATCTCTTATTGATCCGGCACATGAAATGGGAAAAAAGTTGCCTTTAACTCGATAAATTAAAACATGGTTTTTTATAAATATCACGGACCGGTTTTTCCATTCCTTTTTTTCCTTTTTTCATCACGAGTATATCAGGTACAAGGGATGCATATTATGTAACGTCATTCGAGTGAAACCATTACTTCGATTAGGATGCTTCCTATAGTCGAAAATACTACTATTTTTACTTACATATAACGGTATAACAGGTATCTGAAATATTTATTTCGATAACCTAAAATTTAAGGAAGCTGTGACATTTTCTTTGATGGGTGCTGTAGCCGACCGCGCTCGCGCGTCGAAGTTGTGTCGTGACGTTACTTGGCGTAAGTTCGGTTTCTGGTTCACGGCATTGACGTGGTCGGACCACGCGACGGTCTTTGTATATCGCATTCATCTTTAGCGCGCAAGCTTGCCAGGCGCAATATATTGTTTGTATCTTGACCTAGACTGCTGTGCGATATTATAGATATGCTAGATAAGAATGTTTTCTGGGGACCCATATCACTAGTCTTCCAAAGGCCAAATGCGATTTTGAAACACCCGATACAGAGAAACACAATATCCGGGGCCAGGATTCGGACCCACGTTCCTTCAAGCCGATGTGCTATCAGTTCGTCGCTTCAACACATCTGGATGCCCAGCCCCAGGTATCTTACGCAACCGTGGCAATACTTAGGGTGGATTTCACAATTTAACAAACCATTATTCTGCACCAATAGGGTACGAGTACCAAACAGTCGGTTAAATATACCCAATCAGCCTCAAGATCTCTCCGTCAAATTTTTGGCAGCAAATAGCATCAAAGTATTTAAAACAAAACACTGTAAAATATGAAGTGACAGCTTGCCATTGAAATCTTTTCGGTTTATTAAATATTATGAAATTATGTAAAACTGAGCCAAAATGCTTGATGTCTGAGTAAAATCTATTTTTTCAGATTAGCCGAAGGTTTTTCCATATTTATTGCAACTTTTGTAATCCATATGTGATTCTATCACCTACTGTGTGCTTATAGTTTATCCTATATTTGCAAACTTGCACTTCCAAACCCTTACATGAAAAAGCCTTTTCACTCAAATTTTTGTTAGGTGTTGCATTTCAACACATTCATACACTTCTTTCCAGTTCCTCAACGATATTTTAACCCCACTGGTCCGAAACTGTTCAACAGTTTCAACATTCATACATGCAATTGCAGTTGCAGTTTTTTGTTTTAATTTCAGTGTATAATCAGTCGCACCATCGATGATGGTACATTCAACATAACCACGTATTTAGGGGTTCGTGCAGATTTAACGTGTACATGACAGTGTAATATGTATTTCTTCACAAAAAAATCTTGGAGGGAGCACTTTTATACGGAAATTTGTTGTTAAAAAATTCCATTTTTCACACATAACAAAACAAGTGATCACAAAACATAGAATACAGTGACGTTGGAGAAGGAGAATAGACCAAAGGAGATCGGAATTGAGATTTGAAATTAGTGTCTCATAATGTTAGTGACGGGAGAATACATTTGCGATCAGTGGAATGTATTGGAACGGTTAAAAAATATGAATTGAATCGTTTTTACGTTATCTCGACTGAAAGACTGGAATATCTGCTCTGTTTCTGTATATATATTTTTTTTGTGGTATTGTTGCATAAAGTAGTTGGTTCACGAACTAGTTCCTAGAACTGAACGCAACTTAATGAAACGAACTGGAAAGCACATAACTCTTTCAAGTAATCCAAGAAGGGACAAATTGTCATTTCATCACACTAGTGATGGGAGAATCGAAAGCCTGAGATTCGCTTTGCTTCTGTGGCTCAGAGATATAGTGTTTTCTTCTAATAAAACTAGCGCAGTTTTTGTGTTTAAAATACTCTACTTTAGTTAATACCTTTGATCCTAAAGTTGCTCCCATAACAATATTAAACAACTCTCATGTTGTGTCGCGTATTTCGAAACGATGTCAAGGGCCGGCAGGGGAAAATCTTTCTCTGAGAACTGAAAATCATTAAACGCGCTGTTTTCAGTCTATTTTATTCTATCCCTTGGGGACGTACAGAATGAAGAAAAGACTACAGTGCTCAGTGGCCACTCAGTGGCTCAGTGCTCGTCTGTAATGATAATATTCAAATACTACTAAACACCTAAATAGCTTTCTGGCCTTGCAATTTCGAAGCTACCAGTCCTCGCTTAGAGATGGTAGCACAGTTAAGGATAGACTCGGGGTATACGGTTACGGATGTTTATGATTCCTCTCGATATCGATATATCGTCATGAAACCATCGATGCGTAAAGATCGATGTTCTACGTCCGATGTATCGATGTTTTCGATACATCAATGTATCGTCTATCGTCGCCATCCCTATATTGTATCCCCACCAGTCATCAGTCAAAAACCTCCAATATTTTATCTATTTATAATTCTTTTTAGCTCTTATTTTTTATGAATTACTAATAATTTTAGGTCTATGTCTACAGTAATTGCATTATGCACCTCGGAGATGTAGGGATTAACATGTTTTACACATATCGGTGTTTTAGGATGGGGACGACATACTGTTTTGATTGCTTTGAAGAAATTCATTAACCCATGATTTTATAACAAATGATTACTATTATGATGTAAAGAGAGATGAGGAATTGTTGGAATACATTTTATATTCTATTTTCTTGCAAATCCGCACAATTCAACAGGTATGTGTAGCTATAATGATCACATATACACACAGTATATTGAACAACAAATTTCGAGATTGCCATGAATTAACAAACGACCAAACCTGCTGCCAAATTTAACAGCTAGAAAATCGACCTATTATTTCTCCCATTTCCATTCGCTGAGGGAATAACGTATGGTCAAATGTACACCTATAACAT